TATATATATACGTATATCAGTATTATATGTTTAATAAATTATGAAAAAATCAGAATTTAAATAAAATATGCATTATTAAAGTAAAAAAAGAGGTGAGCATGCTCGGCGAACCAATACCGCTAACCGCCCTAAAACGTGACTTACACTCAATCGCAAAAATATGTCGTGGGCCCAGGCCTGTACTAAATATTTGTTTGTTTCTTGACGAATCTTTTAGGATTGATAGTTACAAAATATTTTATCGTAATAGTATAAAAAAATAAAACACCCGTTAGCACCATTTCGTCAGAACTCGGGCAAATTCATGTATACGTTTGTTATTTGCTTGGATAAACGGCACATTATATTACATACGACGACGCGTCTTGCAACAGGTTTCCGTCGTCGGTGTTATCAACGCGGAAGTACAGCCTCAAGTTTGTCGTAAGTCCAACACGCATAATAATAACATTATAGTTTTCATAATAGCGTATAATATAATGTCGTCTGAATGCCCTTCCCCCACCCCCCAATAACAACAATTCAGTACCTATATAGACGTCGAAGTGAACTGCAAAACAACATTATCACTGTTATCGTTATTAMCAATATTATAATTATAAACAGTAAATCGTAGATGATTATAAACCATACACTGCCTCTAGACGTTTTCGACGCGGCCCATGCTGGAACCRGGTTGTGACCGTGACGTGACCGTGGTCAGCGTGGTCAGGTAACTGGTACTGAACCGCCGGTCGCTCTTGACCACCATCGACATGCCGGTGGTCTCGGGGTCGTGGTGCATCTGGTTACGCCGGCCACCTCCGCCGAAACCACCGCCTCCCCCGCCGCCACATCCGCCAGCCGCTTCCGACCCGAGCCCCGGCCGCCGGTCGTTCGGGCCGCGGTAATCGGTGGCCACAGACGGATATCGTCTCCGCCTCGGCGGCGGTTTCTGGTCACCGCAGCAGTACCACATTTGCCGGCATATACCGGATATGTCCCGCCGGAAGTTTGTGTTCAGCCAKCCGTACAGCAGCGGGTTGGTGCACGTGGTCGACATGGCCATCATGTGGACGATCGCGAACGCCTTGTACAGCGCGTCCGTGGAGTCGATCAGGTGCGGTTGGAACTCGACGAGCAGCGTGAACAGCGTCAGCGGCAGCCAGCTGAGCGCGAACACCACCGCGATCGACGACAGTATCCACATTGTCCGCTTGTTCCGACTCAGCTCTCTCTTCACTGTGAAAACGCACAAAAAAAAAAACGATCAGTGATACAAGCGTTTACTCACAATTTTGAAAACACACAATAATATTAAAAGGTATAACATATTATTATTTAGCGTTTTGTCCAAAAGTGTCACTGTGACCGCATCAAGCGATCACCACTGAAGAACCCACATTTGTCTTGTTTTATCGCTTACATAATAATAACATTTAATTTAATAACACGTAGTTTTTATATTTTGCTTCAGCTGCAGCTAAAACTAATTTACTAAGACTCAATATTAAATATTTTTACTCATTAAATTCGTGTTTAATTAACCTAGTTTTTTATTTAATCGAATTTTTTTTTTTTTTTTGTTCGGGATATATAATTCTGATCCGTTTAAGGCGCGGTCGTTGAGTCACGCAAATCTGAGAAAGTATAGTTCTAAAGTTTCGTTAATATATAAGTACCGGACGGTGTGTAGGTAAAGGAAATGAGTACAAAAATCACCACTTTATTTCAGGAAACGAAAAGCCGAGTTTTATTATTCTATACCGACCGCCGTAAATGGTTTTTTTTTTTATAGATAATCTTAAAACAGAAATATAACAACAATCGTTTATATTTTGGTAACTATATTAAAAACTTCGTACCTAACGCATTAAATTTTTGAAGTGTCGATTACAGAGAGATGGAATCATCCAGAAGTGTTATACCAGCGAGCTATCATCATCATTCATCGGAAACGTATACCCGGTCAAAAATATATATTATGACCATCATTAATGCTGTTTGTCTAAGTTTTCGACTGTATTGTTATAGCRTATTATAATTTATATTAACTTAAAGCGTTGGGTAATAAATTGTTGTCAAATTATCAGAAGTATCATAAAACCTGTTATTTATTGTAATATTGTAATTTTTTGTGACACGCATCGCTTTAGTTGTTGTAATTTTGTAAAATAATTATAATGTAAATACGATGACGTGACAAAAAAAATTATGAAAATGAAACGATCAAACAAAGTCCGAGTAATAATCCCGTTGGATTAATTAACAAGTTTTTTTTAATCCGCACGTCACCAGCGATGATCACCCCCCTCCCCCAACTATTGTTACGAGCCCTGTTTTAAAATTCCACAGTGTGTGGTATCACGTATACGTTTAACGTGACCATGCAATGTAATGCATAGTCACGCACACGCTTGTGATGAGATCACAGTTTATTATAGTTGTATTATAATGCGAAGGTATCTCTTTTTTTTTCAAATTTATTTTTATTAATTTTAATGTTATTRCTGTTTTCGTTTTGCCCCTTTAAAGCTTGTATACTCGTAAATCGTCGCATTTATTGGAGTTTTTGAAACTTGAATATTTACGACCACCAACAATGGCGTACATAAMTTTCGAGAGGTTTCGTTTTTGACGTAAGAACACGTGAGCTTATTTTAAGTGTTCCTATATTTACAAACGTATAACAATAAAAACATACCAACCCTGTGTTTCATTWAAAAAAATATTAAGGGTATACATACATGGAAATTTATACAATTTTGATACGCGTGAAGACAAGAATGGTTCTTAAAATGTTTTTCGTACCTACAGTTACTAATTTAATTATACTTGATTAACAGTTAAGCCGATTATGGATGATTCAAGAATAATCAATTGCAGAATAATATATCAATCTGACTGAAATACATAATTCAATTTACTACGCCAGTAATTTAATTTTTTTGTTTATCATTTTATTTATATAAACTAAAGAATAAAGATAGTATAAAAAACTAAAACTAAAACTTAATTTTATTACCATATTAATTCCAGCATTAATGGAGTTTCTTTTTCTGAATTCCGTTCTACGCATAATAGGAATTAAATAAATATTAAATTGTTTCAGTGTTTCACTCTTATATAGAATGGTTATGATTAAATTTAAATTCCTAAATATCAAGGAAAAACATGTAATATATATGTATGGCGTATTAA